GGGGCCAAGCCTGCGCTCGCTCAAGCTCGGCTCGTTTACAGCCCTAATGCTAAGGTGTCAAAGGGGAACTTAGCTAGTCTTCAAGCTATTCATGAAGAAAGTCGTCGTGATCAGTTTTTAATGAAACTGAGACATAAATTTGAAACTGCTGGAGCTGGGTTGCTGAACAGAGATCTGACTCCATGTTTGGATGTTTGTTTTGGATAACTGCGCAAAGAACAAAGATTGACGACACAAGCTACTATCAGTATAACAGGTGAATCATCAGAAATAATTAACATGACATATGCTGCTAAAACCAAAGGGACATGGTCAGTGCAACGCAACAACTGCAAGAAATTTGGTCATATTGCACGAAATTGTGAAAATAAGACATGTACTTATTGCAAACAAAATGGACATACTCTTACGGAGTGCCCAACTCGACCCCAAAATCGCAAACCACAAGTACTTCATGCTACGGTATCTGACTCTCACAATTCTGCCTCGACTTCCACAGTTGCTGACAATAATCAATCAACAGTCACACCCTATATGGTTCAACAGATGATTCTCTCTGTCTTTTCTGCTCTCGGTCTTCAAGGGAAAGGTAAAACTATTTCTTCAGTTACTTCTCATTGGTTTGTTGATTCAGGCGCCACAAATCATATGACTAACACAACTGAGTTATTGCATAACCAACGACTGTACACTGGTACTCAACATATTCAGGTTGCTAATGGAAATAATATTCAAATTACGACAATTAGTGATATTAACTCATCCTTTAAACATGTCTTGATTTCTCCTAAATTATCTATTAACTTACTATCTGTTGGTCAAATTGTGGATAGTAAATGTGAAGTATTTTTTTCTCGTAATTGTTGTATTGTGCAGGATCAAGTGTCAGTGAAGATGATAGCGAGGGGGCCTAAAGTGGACAAATTATTTCCATTGCAATTTGTTGTTCCTTAGAATATTTCATTAGCATCTTCAGTTGTTGAGAATAAAACTGACATAAAAGACTAGGTCATCCAAATGATATGGTGTTAAAGTATTTACGTAAAAGTGATGTTTTTTATTCTACAGATAAAAGTTTAGTAGGTGACTGTTCTGTTTGTAAACTTGAAAAAAGTAAGACATTACTTTTTTCTATTTCAGGCAGTCGTGTTAATAAATGTTTTGACATTTTTCATAGTGATGTTTGGGGAATTACACCAGTTATTTCACATGGTCAATATGAATATTTTGTTACATTTATTGATGATTATAGTCGATTTACCTGGATCTATTTTTTGCGTTTTAAAACAGAAGTATTTACTGTATTCCAAACATTTTTAGCATATGTTGAAACTCAGTTCTCCGCTCGCATTAAAATCTTACGGTTTGATAATGACGGTGAATACATGTCTCATGAGTTTCAAGTATTTGTCCATAATAAATATATTATTTCACAACGTTCATGTCCTTATAAATTGTAGCAAAATAGAGTTGTTGAATAGAAAAATCGACATCTATTGAATACCGTGCGCACATTATTGATAGAAACTTCTGTTCCAACTAAATTTTGGATTGGAGCTTTATCTACTGCAGTTTATCTCATTAATCACTTACCATCTAAACAATTGAAGTACGAGTCTCCGATTTTTTAGTAAACATTCTAATTATCATATGGTACATACTTTCGGATGTGTTTGCTTTGTTAATCTACCTGCTCATGAACGTCATAAGTTGGCAGCTCAGTCAGTACGATGTGCCTTTATGGGGTACAGTGCTAATCATAAAAGTTTTGTGTGTTATGATTCGATTAATAGTCGGTGACATATTTCTCGAAATGTGATTTTCTTTAAACATGAATATTACTTTCAACATCATGTGTCCAACATATATAGTTATACTTTCATAATTTGATAATTCTTCTGTTGAGAAACGGTTCAAGCCAGATATTGTCTACACACGACGCCTGCCCCCTTCACCTTCAATCCTCCCCGACCTTGATCCAAAAATTACTCCAATAAGTATTCAACGATCAACCCGACGTATCCGTCCTCCATATAGATATGGGTATTCTGCAATTTTAACTAATACTTCTGTTCCTACCTTTTACTTTCAGCCTGCTAAACAAAATTGTTGGGTCAAAGCTATGAAAGAGGAACTTCAGACACTTTAAGACAATCACACTTGGGATATTATTTCATGTCCTACAGGTGTTAAACCCATTCGTTGTAAATGAATTTATTCTCTTAAACTCCGATCTGATGACTCTCTTGACAGATACAAGACAAGATTAGTAGCTCTTGGCAATCAACAAGAATACGAGATTTATTATGACGAAACATTTGCACCTGTGGCTAAGATGACAACTGTTCGACTGATGTTATCTATTGCTGCATCTAAAGGTCGATTCCTAATGCAGATGGATTTTAATA